GGGGGGTGGTACTGAATGACATTGATTTGAGGCACACAATATAGATTTATGTAAATTTGCAGTTTTCAAGTACTCTTAAGCTTTGGAATTTGGAAGTCACCAATCTTTGGCGGTTATTTCTTCGCCCACTTTACCTGTGAAACTAGGCAACTTATCTCATATTTTATTTTAGCTTAAATGGAAATTGATGCATCAACTTTATAGGTGGAGTTTGTACAATTTGTAAGTATGAAATAATAATAGTAAGATAACATAGACTTGAAGAAAGTGGCATCAATTGAAAATCTCTATAAATCTGACCCCAGTGTCGATTTTCGGCCGATATCTCTATCGGCGAACGCCCGATTTCACCCTGTCATGATACAAAGTTTGTATTAAGCTGGACTACGTTGGTCTAGTGTTCCAAAGACCCATAATATTGAAATTTAAATCCCCTGAAGTAAGGGAACTTCGGGGTTTCTCCATGTCTAATAATAGTAAAGATTACATGCGCATTTCTACGTTCTACAGCATATTGTTCAATGCGCTTTACAACTAATTACCCCAGCAGACTCAAGGACACTCAGAAACATTCTCGACTTCGCGGGAAGCGAACTGTGCAAGGTGCGGGTTTCACGCGGTCAAACACTAACAAAACGACAAGACCTTTTACTATCTGTGGCCTCGGTGAAGTGAGGGAAATGAAAATTCGTGTAGGTAAAGTGCCTTTCCCAAGGACACAACCGTCGGGTCACTGGTGGGGTGGGGTTCGAACCCATGACCTTTTGGTTAATTTTGTTCCCTAAATTGTTCTCCCTTATCCTTCTTTCCTGCTCTCCAACAATGTTCTGTCGTCTCCATTTACTGCCCCCACCCCCACCCCCACCTCTCCTTTTGCCCCCTCCATGGGCTCCTGACTCTTTCTGCAGCCTTTCATCTGCTACTCCTTGGCTCCTTTTGTCTTTCATGATCAGTCACATCCCTGATCTTAGGGTAGATAAGACCTAACACCTAGCCGTCTCAGATAGGTACAAAAAATCTCGTTAATCCCGTGCGCAAGAAAGATCCCTTGGTTGTCCTAAAACCGATAAATATTAAAAGTAGGCTTCAGACTCCACCCAGGCAAATTAATAAAAATAATTCCTACCAAACTAAAAATGCTTAATAACTTGTCATTCGCTCCATATGATCTTATGCAGTTGCAAGCGCCGTCGTAAATAAACATTTTGATTTAACCCCCC